ATCTTAAATATGTATCAGAAATATCAGAAATAAACTTTATCAATCAAGCATATGATTTTTAATTGAAATATGCGATCGAAAAAGATTTGTGCTAGTATTTTAAATGCATTATATATACAAACGAATTGTTTTCAAGAGGTTCAATTTCCATAATGACATAATTTAATAAAATTTATTACAATTTTAAAAGAATAATCATATGTGGCATAGAATTGATTTTACTTTAAAGTTTAGTAAATGAATTTTAATTTGAATGAATTTCCTTTTTTAACAAAATGAAATACACAATGTTTTGTATTTATTTTTTGTTACATAAAACATTTCTATCTAGAAAACTTACACAGTTATGCTGATCTTCCGTTGAATGATTGGTGTTTATAGTTTCACATGAATAAGTATGTGTGATCTTCTGATCAGTTGATGAAACCATACTTTCTATTATAAATTAAAGCCTCCATTTCAAGAGAAGAATATCCCCAAACAACATACATTCAACATTCTACATTTCATCCTCGAACCTTTTTTGGGATGTATTTTGTTTATGTCTTGAAGTGTCGAAATAACAAATATTATGTTGGTAGAACTATGAATATCGATGTTAGATATCAAATGGACGTGGCTCAATCTGGACACGTAGATATCGTCCAATCAGAATCAAAGAGTTAGTGGAAACCAACAAATAAAATTTAAAATTGATGAAAATTCTTGAATATATGAAAAGATATGGTATCAATAATGTAAGAGGTGGGCCTTATTGTAAAGAGGATTTATCAGAAATAATGGGAAGATTCGTGGCCAATTGTCTCAAATATGTGATCACTGTGGTAGACACGGTCATACTGCTAAAAAATGTATTTGTGACATATGTTGGAGTCATGATCATCTTACAGAGCAATGCAAAAATTGTCCAGAATGCGGTATATACGGTCACGTTGCTACAGAGTGTTATAATTGTTTCAAATGCGGCAAACGTCGTCATTCTTCTGGTAATTGTAATAGATGTTATATATGTGGAGAATATGATCATATACAATATGAATGTGAATAGAATATTTATTTCAATGTTAACTTGTTAATTTGTATGTATAAATAAATGAAAGTCAGTAATAGGAAATTAGCAAACCACTCATATGATAAACCATCTTGTAAACAAATAGCGAGTTGACCAACTTTATTTGTTAGAAATTAAAGAAGTGCTAAAAATTATCCAAATAACTTGAATTCAATATTTTTACTGTGCTAACGATAGCCACAGCACTTTCTGAAATATTTAAATATGCTAACATTCTTCTTAAATATGGATGACAAAGGCTCAGAAATACGAGATAAAGATTTCATACTTTAAAACTTTTTATTTGCTTTGGTGTCGAAATTAAAGTACAGTAGGTATGGTATGTATTAAAAATAATTTTTTTTAAATTAATAAATGATATTCGAATATTTAAATTTATTCATCCAGTTATATTTGAATTGCTTATATATTTAGCATACTAGTGTATGAATTTATTAGTAACTTATACTTCATAACCTTACTTACCTAAATATCGAGACTAAATAATTATAATATTTGTAACATTTCAAGTTTTATTTATTATTTGTTAGACATCAGTTCGATATATCGTTATTTATCGTATATTACCTCTTAAAAGAATCGATATTATTAAAGTATTTAACTTACAAAAACTATACATCCAATGAAAAAAGGACTTTTTAAATATCGTTGGAAATAATTTTCACTGAAAATATAAATAATTCTTTTTTTAAAAAAAAGAATGAATAAAATAAATAAATTTGAACTATATAATTTTGTCATATTAAATCGTTTTATTTTTATTTTTGGAATTTTGAATAATCAAATTATTTCATAATAATGTCACAATTTATATGAAGTCGCCAAAATTATAAAAGTTAATAATTAAAATTTATATTAATAATAAAGAGATACAGTATGTATCTAAAAGTTCTAAAATGTCAATTTTAAATCATTTTAGATTATATATCAATTATAATAACTATATACAAAAAAAATTATTATTTTAGGTCTACCAAAATAATCATCAAAACAATTACTTTATGATAGTCATGATTCAGAAGTTACACAAGAAAATTATTTTTTGATTCTAATAATATCAAAGAAGTACAAGTATATTATAGTTAAAAGTTAAAGTTATGAATTAAATATATTTTTTAAAAAATTGCCCTTGGCAATTAAATCTCTTTTAATTAGTAGTTGTTAAGTTTTTTAACTCTGAATTGTAAATGAATATTTTATTCTATGCAGATTTAATAATCCACTTTGCAGAAACTTTCAATTTGTGATAAAATCATGACGAAATCAAAATTTTATCGTGTGATCATAACCAAGATAACCAAGATTTGGTCACGATAAAATTAAGAAGATTGTACAAAAATATGCGACTGCAAAGTAAGAACATCGGCACCTGGATTCTTATCAAAATCGTAAAAAAAGTGAAAGTATTCTTAAAAGTTTATTATCGAATTCGTGAAGAAATAGTAAAGATTAAATGTTTATTTTCGAAATCGTAAATAAATCATGAAGTGTTTTATTAGTGTTATTTAACAAAAAGCAACTAAATCATAATAAACAGTAAACTTCTATTTTATTTAAATTAAAACTATTGATATTGTCTATAAATAAATAATGAAGTTTAATAAAACTCTAGTAAAACTCTAGTTTATATTTTAAAGAGATTTATTTTATTACATATGGTTAAAAATGATTTAATAATTATTTTAATATAAGAATAAGAGAAGAGATGATGATTTTGTATCTATTAGTGCCTTTACAGGCCTTCATTGCCATAAAAGTTCGGTTCCTTAGTTACCCAATACGATATAATATAAAAACAAAAGAAAACATGCATTAAATATAAGTAGGTTTAATAATATTTTCTCTTTTTTCTCTCATTTACTCTTTCTTAGGAATTACGATTAAACCGGGCATGATCTCAGAGGCGAGCAGATTTTAATTTTTCAAAAAAAAAAAAAATAATAGAATTTAAAATTATTTCTGTAGAAAAAAAAATTTTTTTTTTTATTGATTTCAATTACAATTTTAAAGCTATGTTATGTATTCATTGTTATCCGTTACATTGTTTCGAGTTAAGTAATGGGAGAGCGCTATTTTTTTTATTGAAATTTTAATTTCAAATTTCACCTAAATCAAAAAGAACTGTGGTGACCCTCTCCCCCCCATAATTAAATTGCGCAAATTTCAAATAATGCAAAGGTTACACAATTTAAATTAAATCTTGAAAATACGTACGTTTCGCACAAGGAATTAATGTCATTGCGCTATTTTTTTTATTTGAATAATTTTAACAAAGGACCTGGGTACAATAGTGATATTCTGCACGCCACATAATGAAAAAAAATCACTTTGATCGCTATATTTGGTTAATCTCTTTCCATAATTTTTGCTATTAAATTTTGGTTATTTTTGAAAGATTGTAAAATTAGCTCGATACAGAAATTCATTGTATTACTGGATTATTTTGAATAAATAAAAGGTATTGCTAGAGCAATTCATTGTAATTTGTGTATGGGTCCCGGTAAAAGTATTTTTTTTGGATACAAAATATAGTTTGTCAAGATTTTTTTTTAAGGAGCAATAATTTACTTTCTTTTTTTTTAAAAAAAAGAATATAACTTTATAAAACCTGATTTTCTTATCCCCCTTTTTTTACACAAAATGATTTTATTAAATTCATTCAAAATGTCATCCACAATTCCCAATGAAGATTTAGAAAATGATTTTCGAGTTCTTACTATCCTGCTTATTGGTTAATCGAGGTTTTTTAGGAGAAGCATGATAAATTACAAAATATTATTCGCTTGCCTTCCTAATGAATCAAAGTCGGAACTATTTGTTAAAGGATTGGAATCAACTTCCTAACCACTCCATTATTTAATTATGTTGAATTCGTCAAAAAACTTTTGTTTATGGGACATTCTAAATTTTCACGTCAACAAAGATTGATTTCTGTCGAAAAACACAAATAAAGGAATTTGAAACAATTTGTCATCCAGGCTCCAAAACTTCCAAGCAACTTGATGTTCATAATAAATTAGCGAGAATTCGATTCAGAGAGCAAAACAATTAAACTATCTTAAACAAAAGAAATATCAAAAGGCTTTTTCACTATATTTACGATCAATATCATTGGAATTCATAATAATAGAATTAAAACCAAACTTTCAAATAGATTCCTCAGAACATTAAAAGGGGTGAATGGTTTGTTCCAAATACTTCAATGGATTATAATTCGACTTGAATTTTTTTAGAAAAATTGAATTTCCCGTGTATAGCGATAGAGTTTGTACTCCAAGAAACGAAAGGGAGAAAAAGTCGGACTAATGGAATAATTTTCATATTTGGGATGGCTTTCTTCGGAATTAAACACGGTATGCTTTTTTTTTTTTTATTATAATTTAGTTTTAATTTTCATTTAAATTTATAATTTAGTTTTGATCACTTTGTACCATAACAAATCGAATATAATTTTGCCTTTAGATCGCATCAGTTATATTAATAATGCACTGCGGTTTTAATTTATAAAGACCGATCGGAAGGATCGTTCGTCTTGTAATTCCGTCTTTTAAAAAAAAAATATTTATAATATATCACAACAATAAATTAAAATGAGAATTTTTTCCTGAAAATGATATTGTCCAACATCGCAAATAATATATTTTACAATTTTTTCATTTCATTTTCATTTTATTTTATTTTTTTTCACTTCGAGTAAAAAAATTCCATATTGCTGATCATCCGTTACTGCGTCTCCCTCTTCTGATATTAGATTATCTTCAAAACTATTTAAAGTTTCATTTCAAAGCTTCATTTCAACAAAAATATCATAAAGAATAGTTTCAGCTTCATTTTCTTCAACCGTTATTAAAGAAGAACGGCTTTCATCATTATATTTTATATTACTTTAAAACCTTAATTCTTAAACAAATAATGATCAGTCTTTTTGAGGACCGCGGTTTTTAAAAACAGACCAAAGTTATACAAAAAGACTGCCGGTCTTTTGATTTTATTCACATGAACAGCACATTGAAGAAGACTGCGGTTATTTAAGTCCGGTCTTTTATAATATAAGACCGAAAAGACTAGAAATCCTTGAGACCAATTATCTCTTCTTTTACCCTTCCTCGGTTTTTATGACATAATAACCATTAATCACGTGTCGTGATCATAACTCGAGACAAGCACATGGTTAATCATTTAATGGAATGGTATCATAAATACGTTTTTATAAAAATATCTGAATACAAAATATTTAAAAATATAAACTTTACCTAACCTCTAATGTATCTGAAAATGCAATGCATTCTAAATATTGTGAAATTACTAAAAGGCAACCATTATATATTTAAAATTATATTACGGTTATTGTTATTTAACAATATAAATAACCGTTAAAGATTATCTATGTAGAAAATAATCATTTCCATAATAATATTTTAACGTTAAAATAGGTTATTAGCGATTTCCTTACCATTATGTAATCCGAGTAAATAATTTATAAACTTTCTCATGTGCGAATATATAAATGTACTAATAATACCGGAAATATCAAAACCTTCAATTATTGATGTCTATCATTATATAAAATCGGTATTAGTTTATATTTAAATATATCATCAATATTTCATTAAATTACCTTTTAATTGTAAATTTCTAATTCATGTAATTGAGAATCTTGAAATAATTAAAATGCATAACGTTAATATTTATATTTTTACTATCGAAAATAACATTTAGATAATACCTTCATTATTTTCATCCTTTTCAAGATATGAAGTAATAAGAGACGAATTAATAGGTTTTGTCAAATTTTTAAACGCAAATGCTCTACTTGTATAGACAGCATCAGGATTTGTTTTACGTGAAATTATAATATTTGGTATGTCTTTATCAGCTTCTTCAAATGCTTCTTTTATTTCTTTTGAATAATATCCATATTTTTTAGTATCTTTATATTTCTCATAATCCTTAATAGATTCATACCAAAAATCAATTTGATACAATTCTTCAGTTGGTGGTCTTTGATTTGAATTTGCATTCATACACCTATAAGCTAATTTCTTATAAAATTCAGGAGTTCCTTTTCCAAATTCTGGACGAAGTCCAT